GTTAAAGGACTTCCGATGTAGGAAACAGGCACTACTACTCTGCCCCGATGACTTGGTCCCTGTGTCATCCTCCCAGCATTTTTTTTTTTTCTGGAACATATCTAGCTAGAATAGATAATGCCTCTTCCTTTTCTATTCAAGAGGAAAGTATGCCCCAGATCAATGTTCCATTAAGCTGCCTCTTGAGGGACGGGAGCCTGGATTCTCTCACCCTGGCTCTCAGGGGCCCACCCCACAGTTACTCCTCACTGCACATGAAGTCTGGACAAGGTCCATGGACCTGTTCAGTCTGGATCTGAAGCAGTTCTGTGCCGACATGTGGGTATCCATGCTGGGAGTGAGGAGTAGGGCCCCTTCAGCCGGGTCTGCCAGGGATGTCCAACTCAGCCTCAGAGAATGATCTCTGGGGGCCGGGAAGCAGGAAGAATAATGGGAAGAGGAGATGACAGGAGCCCCCTGGGGCAAGCGTGGGGAGACACCTGGTCCTGCCACACAGCCCTCACCCCAGGACCCAGCCCAGGGCTCTAAACCGAGCACCAAATTGTTTAAGTATCACCACCTCCTCCACTCAGCCCCTCTCAGTCCATCCCTGTCTCCTGGCCTGCTGTGGCCAGTCCACAGGTCAATAATTTAGCCTGTTGATTGCCCGCTCCCGGGTGACTTCCAGGGCCTGGCTCCCTGACCGCTTGCGGCTGCGCTTGAGCTTGCATAAGTCCTTGTCGAAAACCTCCCCCGAGCGCAGAGCCGACACCAGGTCGTCAAACTCGCCTCCCTCCTCCAGCGTGCCGCCTGCATGGACCTTCCGCTGCCGCTGCCACCGCTCCCGTTCTCTCTGCTCCTTCAGCTGGAGGAGGGACAGTGAGAGGCTGGCACCCCAAGAAATGGCTGAGGCCAGAGCAGCCACCCATAGTCTAATTTACAAAGGAATGCCCTCCCGACCAGCGGCTAACCTCTAGGCTGTGTGACTTGATGCTGGTGTTCACCAACTAGCCCTACTCTCCTCCTTCCCAGGATGCCCTGTACCTGCCCACCAGACATGCGCTCGCTCTCCTCATGCTGGGAAGACCACTCTCTCTCCTTGGGTTGTTGACATCAGCTCCTACAGTGTTCCTTAGGCCCTGCCCTCCTTGCACACAGCCCCACCACTGTCTTCCCTAGTAGCACCCCATTCGGACCGGCCTCTCTCCTCAAGCCCTGCCTGGCCCTCTCACCATAGTTTCCATGCGTGCTCGCCGCTCCTCCTCTTCCTTCTTCCTCCTCATGGTCTCCAGGTCCTGCCGGGCCTCTGAGAAGGCCTGCAGGAAGGTGTCAAAGATGCCGAAGAATTCATCTGGCTGCATCTTGCTGTCCTGCTCTCCAAAGTACATCAGGGCCTTGGAGAACTGTTAAGGGAAAAGAGGGTGGTGGAGAGTCACCCCTGAGCACCATGGGCCCAGGCCATGTGGTTAGCTGAGTTCCAGCCAGAGCAGAGACCCATCCAAGGCTGGGGACCTTTTGCATGGGGTCAGGGCTAGAGAAGAGGAGACCCCCATCGTCACTGGGGTGGGCATAAAGCTGAACGAAAGGGTCGAAGCTGACATCCTGGGGACATGGGGGATCCAAGCTGGCTGACGAGGCTTCCCAGAGCCACCTCTGGGTCTGTTATGGTGTAGGTATGAGATCAGGGGTTACAGACCTTGGGAAGGAACTGCCTACTCATAACTAACAAGGACTTCAGAGATCATACAGTTATTGGGCTAGTTATTTAACCTCTCTGTGTCTCAGTTTCCTTATCAGTAATGGGGATGATAATAGAACCCACTTCATATTGTTGTGGGGGTTAAACAAGGAGATAGACAATGCTAGTTTAATTATATGTGCCAGGCACTGTCTTTTTATTGAGAGCTACTATCTTAATTCAACCCACTCAAAGTCCTCTCCAAAAGACCTCACTACTCAGGTGCTCCATGGACCAGCAGCATGGGCGTCTCCCAGGAGCTTGATAGATATGCTGACTCTCAGGCTCCATCCCAGACCTCCTGAATAAGGACCCACATTTTAATAAGACTCCCACAGGTGGCATCCATGTGCACTGTTGGTATGAGAAGTTAGCAACTGAGACCAAAGGTGATCTCCAGAGTCAGGATTGTAACCCAGCCCTGTCTATCACATCTGGGCAACCTTGGGCAAGGTACTTAACCTCTGTGTATCTAAGTGCAAATGGCTAATAAACTTTGAGCAAACCCATAAGTAGGTAATGAGACAAATGTAAAACACTTATAGTGGTGCCTGACACCTGATGAATGGACATGATCTTTCCAATAGAGTTGCTATTGCTTTTCTTGTAGGAGTGAGGAAATGTTTATTCCTCAAAGCTCTGTGATTCTGGGTTTGTCTCTTCTGGGCCATCTGGTAGGAATGGAGGAAAGAGTTATGTCTACATAAGGCTGAGTCAGAGAGGAATGGGGGCGGGGTTAGGCTGAGGGTGAGACTGGAGGCTTGGGGCACCCTTACCTTGTCCCTGGCCTCACTAAGCTGGTCCTCCAGCTCAGAGAAGCTAAAACTGGAAACCGTGATGAAGTCACTCATGACTGGGACAAACTTGTCATTTGGTTCCCGCATCTGGTGTTTCTGATACTCCAGCTCCTGAGGAAGGAGAGTGAAGTGTTGGTTAGACTGATACTAGGATTAAAGTCAGGAATTCTGGAGTCGCCACATCGCTCACCCTTCTTGCCATTCGTGGGATGTTGAGCCTTCCTTTGGAAGATGGAACATCCCCAGTGTCAAAATTTTAAGGGTGGCAAAGATTGTGAGAGTCATCAACCAGTCCACCCTGCCTCTATCCTTCCCTCATCCGCCACTGCCATCTTTCTCTTTCTAGAGCCTTGCTTCCCAAAGCCTATGGAATCATAATCTGCATTTTAACAAAAGCTTCAGGTGATTTATGTGCACATTCAAACATGAGATGCATTTCTAAATCTCCTAGTTAATGCGGATGCTGCTGGTCCAGGGACCATGCTTTGGGTAGTACTTTAAAGGGCTATAAATTGGCAATCACCTTCTGCCCTCGCCCAACCACAGTGGCAATAAAAGGTTCTTTCTTATACTTAACTTTGTTCCCTAAGTTCATTCTCTCCTTACTTACCAACTCCCCCCGCCAAAAAAAAATACACACACACACACACACACACCCAGTGAAGATGGGAAGGATTTCTATTCTTAGGTGTGGAGGACAGAGGATTGAGGACATTCCTGCACTGGGCTAGCCTAACCTAGGGCCAGAGAAAGTATCTGAGAAGCCATCAGACCAGGAATTGTGGTGACCAGAGACCTGGGTCTCCAGCAAAGAGTGCAGCCCCTGGCTCTTCTACTGGCCCAGGAAGGAGGTAAAGAGACTTAAGGCAGGAACTTCCAGGGATAGTGGTCCCTAATGTCACACTGTGTGCAACCAGCTAAAGATGTGGGTCCTCTTTCTGATATACCTGAATCAAACTTGAGCAAGCAGCTGATTTACGGTTCAGTCCACTCCACTGCCCAGTACACGTTTGACAGTGACCTGGCTATTCTCAATGTTCCCTCTTTGAGAGTTGAAATTTAAGCCCCAGATAATCTAATTATCCTTTGCTGAGGGCTGACTCTGTGCTAGAGGCTATACTCGCTGTGCCAATTGTTCTCCACCCCAGCCAGGAGCTTTGGGCCAGAAATACATCAGACAGGGTCTGCTGTCTCAGGGCCCACCATCTGACCCAGTGGCAGGCAGCATGGGCAGCTTTTGCCTCTGACAGCAGCCCCTCAAATCCAGACAGGCAGAGATGATGTACTCACCACCTCGACCGCTCTGAGGCCCCTCCTGAGGTTGCCCACTTCTTTCTCCAGCTCTGCCAGGCTGTGGGGAGATACAGAGGGAGGGAGAGGAGCTAAGCATGGTTCAGGGAGAGGGTGATGCAAAGCCCAGTGGCTTGGGGGGTCAACAGACCTGTGCTTCAGCCCTGCTTTGGCCACTAACATGTGGCAAGTCACCTCCCTTCCATGCTCTGTGCTTCTATAAAATAACAGCAGTGACACTTATGTTCTGGAGATCCTTCCAAAACAGAGTGTCAGGCTGCATATTAGAATGTTTCTAACACATGGCCTCTGGCTTGGATTTTTTTTTTTTTATTACCACTAGGTAATATTTATAAGTTCTTGACATGGTACTTGCATGCAGGTACATTTGATGCATATTAGCCATTTATCAGTACATTTCTGCTTCTATTGGAGATGCTTCTATCAGCCTGTATATGTTCAGGTCTGACTTCTTGTCAGTAGCAGATACCATTGGTGTTCCACCCAAATCTCCTTGGACCATCCATTGTAGTACACAGTCCTGACTTCTAACTGTATAGGCACTTTTTTTCTGGAGGCCAGAGCCACCTCTGCCATCTGTACCCATGGCCAGAGAGTTATGCCTCCCCCCAAGAACCCTTCAGCCAGTAACTGACAGGAGATGGTATATGATGCTCCCTCAGCCCTTGGAAGGGATAAGTGGAGCAGTGTCCTAAACTGTCTCTCACACTTCCCTGGAGGAGTTAAGCTCTAGTCGCCCCCAGTGGTGGCTCGCTGAATTACACTTCCATTACTGGCATTCTTCGCACCCCTGGCTCACTTTCTCACTCCCTACTGTGTTTCCTGGGAGCTTCTCTGAAATAAGGATTGGAGAACAAGTAGCCTGACTTCGTTTGGTTCTCTCAAAAGCAGACTCTGAGACACTGCCCATTCCTAGTAGGCCCAGAGTAGCCCCAAAGGAGGGCATTTAGACAAGAGCATGTGTGAACACAGTGAGAAGGAAACCTCTCAGAGGGACCCCTCACTTGACTTTGGCGGCTTCTGGAAGATGCTGCAGCTCCGAGGGCATTGTCAGAATGTCGGGGTAATGCTTCTCCAGAATCATGATCAGGTAATGGAGCAGAGAGATGTTTCTGTGGATGAAAGTTGGGTCATGAGTAAGGGAATGAGGGTCAGGAATGGAGAGAGGGGGAAGGGGAGGAGGGGCAAAGCCAGGGCGGGTTGCGATGGAGGCTAAGGAAGCAGGCAGTGTCCCACCTGTCAATGCTGGACTTGGTGTCGGCAATCTTGTTGAGACTGGCCACCCGGAACCCGTAGGCGCCCCCACGCTGTCCTTTGTTCATGAAGTTACCGATGGCCAGGACGACCTCCAGCATCTGCCTTAGACGCTTGCTGCGGATTAGCTCCCGGGAGGCCAGCAGGATGGCTAGGAGAGGAGGGACAGGTCAGATCTCTACATAAACTGGGCCAGGGCAGCTGGTCCCCTTGTACCCCAGATGATACCACCACAAAGTCCACAAAAGGAGCTGCAAGGGTCTTCAACTCTCAGAGGGGCAGAAACTATGCCCACACCTCTGCAAACAGATCCACTCCACACCCGCCCACCACCAGGGGAAGCAGACAAACTTGCCAAAAGGCAATTCGCCAAATAGCCCATTCTCAGACCATGCCGATTCTTCCTAAGAATATATTTGAGAATATCTTTTCTTGCATACACTTAAAGATTATTAGTATATTCTTTCTAAGAATATACATTAAAACATAATACTTTTACTTTTCTAAACTCAGTGATTAAAGTTTAAATTTCAGTATTTTACATATTATGGCACTGTTTCTACCTCTTTCGTAATGCTGAACCTTACTGAGTTTTTGGAAAGAAAAAAATCCCTGTCAAATTAAATTATAACATGTCACCAATTGTAATATTCCCATATTATTTTTGTTCTGTAATATAATGGTGTGCTTTATAGCTGATGGTGTCTTTGATTAGGTTACTTGACATCCTGTTGAACATTATTTAAAAAATTTTTTCCAACCTTTAGGCATTTTAGCCATTTCCCCCTAATGTCTTAAATGACACATCTGCTAGAAATACAAACTAAGCAAACAGTAACCAAAAGTTCAGTATTTAATTCTTAAGTGGATGCTTTGGCCCTTCCTCAGCTATTATGTGTTTGTGGCAGATGTCCAGAGTTGGGCTACAAATCCTGCACTGAAATTTTGGCTACTAGTTATGGAATATGCTTTTTGATTATTAAATGTGGTGATAAGACCAAACTATTTTATGATCTTTGGATTATGCCAAATTGAACATTCCTTAAAATGCTGCTATGAAGATAAAATGAGAACCATCTGACTAAAAGTTTGCAGAAATCTTCAAGAGCAGTTAAAAATAAGCAATAGAAAAGAAAACAACAAAAAGCTATAAAAGTAAGTAGTATCTAAGGTTTGTCAGTAGCTTCAAAAGCTGAACATGTGCATATTCTATGACCTAACAGTGGAGTTACGCTTGATTGGTATTGGAGTGGTTTCTAGTATTTTTCCCTTTAAATTACAAATAGACCAGTTAAATAAATTATGGCATATTCATACCATAGAATAAAATGCAGCACTGAGAATGAATAACCTACTACTACAAATAACAACAGGGATAATTTATAACCATAATGCTGAGCAAAAGAAACCAGCATAAAATTCATCCTCTATCCCATTTATGTAAAGTTCAAGACAGACAAAAACTTCAGAAGGGAGGGAGAGAGTAATGGTGGGAGGAGATAATGTTTGAGAGAGGGACATGAAGAAGGGCTCTGGGGAGCTGGAAACATTCCATTTCTTGACCTGGGTGTTGATTACATAGGTGAGTTCATTTCATGATAATTTGTCAAGCAGGACTCTTACGATTTGTGTACTTTTTCTACATGCATATTTCAATTAAAATTTTATTTTAAAATAAAACTACTTATAAAAGTTCCCCGCAATTTATATTGGTCAGGATAGTTTTTCTAAGGTTGATATGCTGTTTGAAAAATTTGCAAAGGAATCCTCCTGAAAATACTAAAATGTTGGCAAAACAGATGACAAGAGTTGAAAGGAAATCAGTGTAAATGGGAAAACTCCCATATGCGATGCAGACTTTTTAGATATATTCATAAGAATAATGTATTCATGAATATATTCATAAGAATATGTTTACATTTGAAATCATATTCTATATTCAGTGAATGTATTCATAATAAGAATCGGTAAATTTGGTATATTCAGCAATGAACATATTCATAAGAATACATTCAAGAAGAATGTGTTCATGAATATATTCATAGAAGAATTGGTAAATTTGTCAAATCTGGTGAATTGACTTTGGCAAACTAACTCACAGATCCTGTTGGGGGCTGGGAGTGGGGGGGGGGTGTGGGTGTCAATAGCTCATCAATCAGCTGGGATAGGCCAAATCTCCATTCTCCCAAGAATACTCCCTAGGAAGACTGGAAGGACTAGGAACCCCAACTCCTGCACAACCCTTTTGTCTCTACCCCCAGCCAAGCCCACTGACCTGATCTGAAAGGTACAACTTCAGCCACATCTTCCCAGCTTTAGAAGGAAGAGACCTCCAGAGCATTCCAGAACAGCAGTCATGCTACAGCACGGCAATGACTACCTGGCCAGAAGGTTTTGCCATCGGAAACACATCTTGCTCTGCTTGGCTTGATATTAAATGGAGACTCTTTCCTGAGCATCCAGTGACTAACTCTTAGGGAAAGCTTAGGAGTGGCCTCCTAGAAACAGGAAGTCATTTGAGATTAAACCTAACTGGTGGCTGAGCTACTCTAGTCCCACGGCTCCAAGTGGCAATTGCTTGCATTTGCTCCATTGACCCAAGACACGGTAGTAGGTGAGCACATATGTCTTGGGCCAGACCCCTTTTCTGTGCCTCATCCTCCAAAGGCAGTCTGCAGCAAGACAGAGAGAGCCCGTGTGAAGGGAAGGATTCCCCCATCACCGGGGCATGTAGTACCACCAGACCTTAGACCTGGAGAGTCACTGCTGCTCTCTTTCAGCTCAGATCACAGATCTTTATCCCTCTATAATCACAGCCAGGCTGCAGTTCTCTTGTTGTGTATATGTGCGTATCAAGATCCAGGTTACAGAAAATGTCTATTTCTAGCTCTGTTACACCCCACCTAAGTCCAGAAACCCCCCTGAAACAACTCATTGAGCTCCAGAAGGGGCCATTCTCTGGACAGGACATCTCAAGGAGTACTAGCCAGCTTGGTGTCCAGTAGAGGGGGCCCATGCTCTGCTCTGCGCCCAGCCTGTCCCTCTCAGTATCCTGGACACAGGCACCCTTGTTCCACTGTGCTGACCCTCTCCTCACCACAAATGAGCCTCACAGTCTCTCCTGCTTTACCCCTTTTGAGTCTGATGGATACCCACTGTCCTGACCACCCACCTTTCCCCCCACCTCTCTGACCCTCCATCCTCTGCCATGCTCTGGGAAGTACTACAGGATTAGAGTAAAGGAATGGATTTTGAAGAATGGCATCTGTGTTCCAGTCCTGGCTCCCCCATCCACCAGTAATATGGCCTCAGGCAACATATCTCCATTTTAGAGATAAGGGGATAGAGGTACCTACAGGGTTGTTGTGGGAACCGAATGAGACCATCCATGTGAAATGTTTCACGTAGTGCTTGGCACATGGTTATCATTTAATTACAAAGTGGTCATCTGGAGAAAGCCTATTTTTGGAAAGAGTTCCCCGACCGAGAAAATCAGATGCCTCTGGGGATCACCTTGCCAATTTCCTACTTCCTGAATAACTCACACTTAAAACAATGTGCCTACAGGTCTTCCATGAGCTTAATACCTCTCAAACAGAGTAAAGACTGATGAGCTCAGTCTACGCCAGGCCCTGTTCTAGGGGCTTGCTGTCATCATCACCTGTTCAGCATTTCTGCCCCATGCTGGAGCAGATGTCACCAGATCCCTCACCTTGAAGAGTTACATGCTAAGGCATGGGGAATTTGTCACATATTTAGCACATGTGCTAATATAAACAGGTGTATATTGCCTAGAATAATCATAGTTTTAAATATTGTCCTTGACTTTGTGTTTTGGGGGGGATTGAGAATAAGGAAAGAGTTTTCCTCTGGCCCTGTTCATAGACTCCCACCTCAGGCCTCCTCCATACCCTCAGGTGTACCTTCAACTTTGGGCTTGGCCTCAGCTAGCCGCTCCTGGAACTTCTTCTTGAAGAAGAGAGCCTGCAGTCGCTGCTGGTAGTGGTCGATCCTGTGGACAAGGTGAGCTCCGTCATAAGGCAGCTCCCCTCCAGCCCCACCCCCGGAGCCAGCCCCAGCTCCCTCCTCAGCCTTCCCACCCCCAGCTCCTCCTGCCAACCCTGCTGCCCTGACCTGCTCATTTCATAGAGGAAGCGGTCAGCACGGGCCATCCGCTCAATCTCATGCTTGTGTTCCTCGAGGAGGTCAATGTCACTCTTCTCCGGAATGAACTTGAGGAGCTGCAAAGAGCAGGTGAAGGTCAGACAAGAAACTGGTGGGAAGCCGATACTAGGTGCAGCACATGGAAGTCCATACACGGACCAGGCTCAAGATGGGGAGGTGCCCCCTTAAAAGACAGAGGCATCCTTATGCGGATGGTTTACGTTTCATCTGCCTGAAGAGGACACAGGCACTCAGCTCTAGACATTTTTTATTTTTTTACTTTTTAAAATTAAGAAATAACTTACCTACAGTAAAGTATATTATTCTTAAGTATATAGCTCAGTGATGATTTTAAATCTTTATTGAGCTATAATTTACATATGCATCCATTTTAAATGTTCAGTTTACTGCGTTCACAAAACTATCCACCCATAGAACCACCATCCAGATAAAATACAGATTTCCATCCCACCAGAAAGTTCCTTTGCACCACTTCAATAAGCCAACCCACTCCCTTCTCCCAACATAGTCTCTCAACTGAATTCTATCACTTTAGAGCCAATTTGCCTATACTTAAACTTCATATAAATGGACTCGTGCTGTGTGTTCTCTGGTGTCTGGTTTCTTTCTCTCGCTATAATGTCTGAGATTCATCTGTGTTGTAAATATTGCTAGTTTGTGTTTTATTCATTGCTGAGTAGTACTCTACTGTAGGAATATACCTGTCTGCTTATTTGCTTTCCTATTGATAGTTAGGTTGTTCATAGTTTGGGGGTCTAAGTGTATACCCGAGAGTGGGACTGTTGGGCAACAGGCTAGGTGTATATGTGACCCTAGTGTGCACTGCCAAATCGTTTTCCAAAATGATTATTCTGAATGAGAATTCTAATTGTTTCACATCCTTGCCAACACTTGGTATTGTCAGTCTTTTTAATTTTAGCTATTCTGATGAGTGCATGGTGCTACTTCACATGCTCGCATCTACTATATTTCTCTGATGACTAGTAGTATTGAGCATGTTTTATGGCATTTCTCTGATGAGTAATAATATTGAGCCATTTGGAAGTTACCTCTTTCAGGAAATACTTGTTCAAGCTTTTTGCTCATTTTCAAGTGCAATTAGTTCTTATTTTTCTCACTGATTTGTAGAGTTCTTTATTCTGAATTTGAGATCTTTGCTGGACATATGTAAAGCAAGTATCTTCTAAGGTTTGGCTTGTCTTTTCACTCTAATAATAGTACCTTTTGATGAACAGAGTTCATAATTTTAATGAAGTCCAATTGATGGTGGTTTTGTTTGGTGTTTTCTAGGTTTTACTTAAAGGACACAACAAATTGAGGTGGAAGTGTTTTGAGAAGATATGATGATAGGTCACTCTGACTTTGCCTTGAAACCCATGACAATCATACATACTTCATATCTCCTTTCAAGGCCTCAATCCCCTGGAAAGGATGTAGCCTTTTCTGGCTTCCCCTCAGAGAAGCTGGTCCAGGGTGGCTTCTGTAAACCTTTCCCTCACTCCTCCAGCCTCCAGCCTGATTTTTCCTAGACCTAAGAGTCTCAGCCTCTCTGGGGGCTGTCAGGAAGGGAATAGCTGCCCCCTAGTTTCAGCTCCCTTCCCCCTGAGGGGCCTCACCTGTTCCAGCATGTCCTTAGCAAGGTCTTCCTGCTCATCCATCTTCAAGATGGCCTGCCGGATCTCCTCGTTAGAGAGTTTCAACCTAAGGCAAAAGCCCACCCCCTGAGCAGCCTGGCCTGGGCCTTCTGCTCAGGACAGACTCCTAGCCTTCTTCTTCAGAAGATGGATTCCCAGCCTTGTCTCTCTCCCTTATATGAACTTGAGAGTACATTTGATAGTCCTCCCTCCTCAGCTCTTCTGCAAAGCCTCCTCAAGCTAAATTAATGTGGTTCACTCCATAATTTGATAATGAGGTATTTTAGTCTCTAAGTAGAGACTTGAGTCTTTGGTCCCTTGCTTGAGTCTCCGTCAGAGCTGACAGGGACATTTGGGAGTAAAAGGGCCAGTTTCAATGTAGACTGAGAGACAGGGAGAAGGGTTTTTCTGATCCTTCTCCTTCTCCTCATGCTTAAAATATCTGCAGCTACTCCATGGGAGGATGGGAGTCTCAGCAGACCTCTAAGGGGGCAGTTTCCTGCTTACTTCATTCTCAGAAGACAGAGTAGCTCTTAGTCTCTGACACTGCCTAAACTCCCACACAGCTGTTCCAATCCGTCTTGCCGTCTGGGAAGGGGAGAAGCCATCCCCTACCCCCCCCAACACACACACCTTCCCTGGAATCTCCTTCAGATGCACACCCAATGAAGGCCCTGGGGGTGCAGGACTCTGCCCTGCCATTAAGGGGAAGAAACTGAGGCCTGTAGCCTTGTGGGAGGAAAGGGGGCTGGATATCCCAGAGGCAGTTAGGGCAACACTAAGAATAGTCTGGGAGACGGTGCCCTCTGACCCTGGCTCAGGCAGGAGGCCCCACACAGAAGCTGTGCTGTTAGTGCAGATACTGCCCTGTTTGTTCTGCAGCCGCGGGAAATGCTTGGGGGCTGAGATCATGCTGCTCTGTGGCCTAAGCCTAGTGGGGCCCTCCATGGGCTTAGAGCAACTCCACTGCCAGATGCTGACCAGGCTGGTCAGAGGCCTCGTGACTGGGGCAGTTTCCTGTCTGCAGAGCCCCACACTGCTGCTCAATATGGTCTCCCAGGAGAGGGTTCTAGAGCAGCACCCTCCCCTTTCCCAGGAGACAGCAGAGAAGGGGAGGCCAGAGACTGCTATCACCCCAGTCCTCTGCCACCTCTCTCCCCCAGACATTCAGGTCAACCATCATCTTCTTCTCTAGCCCCATCTCAGGCCTCTGCTTCCTGGGTGGGGGGGCCCATTCCCTCCCACCAGGAACCTATCATGGAGCAGGGGCCAAAGAGGCAAGGGGAGCACATACTTAGAGAGAAGGATGATGCAGTTCTGAGCCCTCCGGCCATCAATGACTGACAGCTCTTTGACTTTGCGGGAGGCCAGGTAGATGTCCTCGGTGGAGCCCAACTCCTTCTGCAAACAACAAGCAAATTAGAAATGTCGAAGTGTGTGTTTTCCCCAATCCTCTTCTTGCCTCCCGCCCGTCAGGAGCCACCTCCCTACCAACGGGGGAATGCACCCGGTGTGAGAGGAAGAAAGAAAGGTAAAGGAAAAGACAGGAAAGAGAGAGGAGGGTGGTTAATAACTGACTCTAGTAGGAGTCATCTGGGACTTCACCATGGGCTAGAATGAGTTGAGGGGTGGCAATGAGGAACCCCCTTTATAAGGTTGCCCTCTTTATATAAACTAGAGAAAAAGCTATTCCAATGGAGAGGACTGATGCCTATGGCTTCAGGTGATGTGATATGATCTACCAAGTCCCCATTGCCCCACCCCGAGAGCCTCCCCATCCTATGTTAAGATGCCGGTTCTAAGTCCTCACAGGGACACAGTTCCTGGACTCCTAAGGACTAAGGCAAAGCCTAATGTGCCCTGGGTAGAGGGCATCCACATGTTCAGAGGTGGGCAAACTGAGGCAGAATTCCATGCAGAATTCTCCTCTGGGGTTCCAGCAGGCATATTCCTAAGAAATCAGATTCCCCTTGCCTTCTCTTGGGCCCCTGGTGAGAGAGACAGGAGGATATTTCTAACTCAGGGAGGTCCCTCCAAGTGCATGCTCTATGTTTTACACCTGCAGGGGCTGCCACTCACATCATTATCTTCGTGAACTGTGCCCCCGGAATTGTGCAGTGTTCAGCCTGCACAGTCTTACAGGATGGCCTGGCCTTGGGCCCTTGCTTTGGGTAAGACAATAGATCTAGAAGCTTTCTCCTCACTCCAGTAGACATTCACCTCCACTGCTGGCAGGGGTCTGTTTGCACTACCCCCATCTCCTATATTTCTGCTTTCTCCTTGAGGACCCTCCCCTATGCCGCCCTGTATGGATGGGTAATAAAGTAGAAGGTAGAATGGACAGGCCTTCATTTTTGGGCCCAGTACAGGGCAGTAGCCCAGGATGGTAGTTAAAGGTTGTAGTTTCCAGAGCCCCAAGTGACTCACCTGCTGAGAAGGATTAGTTATCAGCTCCTAGGCAGGTAGCAGCCACAGCCAACAGAGAATCAAACATGCACAACATTAGCCAAGAGGTACAGGGACCCAGAAATAGGAGAAGAGACATGGGGAGCCCTCATCTTCTACTCCATCTGCCCCATCCCAATGAGACCCCCATGGCTAGAGATGGAGACCTGTAACTATTACTGAACAGGAGCTGCTTCTAGTAGATATGCACTGACAGAGAAGCCACACAAAGCAGGACAGGCAGCATCTCCTGCCAGCCCTGGTCCCAGTCGGACCACTCCTCAGTCATGGCTGACCAGGCCCCCAAACTCCCCCACCCCAGGCCTTGGCTGCCATTCTTTCCTCTCTTCTGGGAATCTGCCCTGAGGGCTGAGGGCGTTCCTCTGCCGCATGAGTTCATCATTCTAAATAGAGGAGGAAACACAGCCGAACTTGAGCAGGAACACATGAAAGTTGCATTTATTGAGGCAGAGGAAAGCAGGTGGCCCTGACATTTGCTCCCTGCTCATTTCCCCTTGCCTGTCTTTTCATATCTAAGAGGAGCTGAGGAGGCAGAGTTCACACCTGGTTTTCCCTTCCTGACCCTCAAGGAGCTAAAATCACTAACTCATAGTACACAAAGGGAGAATCTACAGCTCAAAGCACCTTCTCCTGCCCCATGACTATCAGGTCACAAGACAGGGTAAGGCACCCAGAGCAACATGGCGTCTGAGACCTCTCCAGCTCTGCTGCTGTGAATTTGGCTGGTAAGGCACCCAGAGCAACATGATCTCTGAGACCTCTCCAGCTCTGCTGCTGTGAATTCAGCCCCAGACTTTAGGCAACCACTGAGTGAAAGTAGTCTAAACAAGCCCAGTCCTGAAACAGGGGCCTGGACTGTGTGGGCTCAGAGAGGCAAGGGGAACAAAACCTGGGGCTTTCCATCTGAACTCTTCTCTATTCAGCAAATGGGATGGCTTCAGACTCAGTTTGT